AAGGATAAGGTAGGGATGGCAACACTGCACCTGAGCCGACCTACCTGTGAACTAGGTTATAGGATTTATGGGATTTATTCACGTAGATGGCGATTTATTGTAGCGGAAGTTGTCATGGGGATTAATTATTTTTTCTTGAGATGATTAAATGTAGGGATCAATTTTATATATATATATATATATATATATATATATATATATATATATATATATATATATATATATATATATATATATATATATATATATATATATATATATATATATATATATATATATATTCCTCTGAAGGATTTACCACTGGGAGTAGTTGCTTTGTGGGGATTTAATTAGGCGATTTATTTTCACGTTTTTACTTGAATATTTGTGAGAATTAATTGTTTGCAGGGGGATTAATTTTAGGGATTAATTGGTGTATTTACCTGAAGGATTTACCTCCGAGATTCATTGTAATTTGTCATTTCGGGAATTTTTAGTTTTTTTTCCCGAGTTGATTCCTGGATTTAATAAAAGGAAGATTTTTCACAACATGTTCAAATTTAACTCAGCTGGGACATTTACACTACACATACAACATACACTATACACCACATACAACATACACTATACACCACACTTTTAACGCCACTACACCACATACAACATACACTGCCACACCACTTTAACATATACACCACACCACAACATGCACTATTCTACATACAACATACACTATACACCACATACAACATACACTATACACCACATACAACATACACTATTCACCACATACAACATACACTATTCACCACATACAACATACCCTATACACCACATACAACATACACTATTCACCACATTAAGGTCGTCGTTAAATAAATAATTAATTGATGAAAAATTTGGATGTGGGTCGTTTATTTTAGCGTCACGTGAGGTAGTGCCGTGATGGCTGGGGGTCATTTGGACACAGTCGGGGTCATCTGGTTGTACACCACACGCTAACTACCGCTGGTTAGTCGGGGGTAATCACCTGGCACTGTCCTGACAACAGTGGGAGGATGATGGGAGCAACACAGTGCGACAACACAGGGGTCATTCATTTGTTTTGTGTTGGCCAGCTGGATGTGTGACATGGGAGTGACGTCATCGAGTGGGATTGACGTTATCGATTGGGAGTGACTAAATCATGTAGGTGTTATTCATGGCCTAACCACGTCACCATAGGGATGTGGTGGGCGAGTGGATGCAATACTCACTTCCTGTCCTAAGGGTTACTGGTTCGATCCCAAGACTCACCCAGTTAAAAGGGGACACTCAATTTTACAGTTGGGGGAGTGAAGGTGGTCAAGTACAGTGCCGGCCTTCACCACAACCATCACCACAACCATCATCACAACCACCACCCCAACCACCACCATAACCACCACACACAACCATCATCACAACCACCACCACCACAACCACCACCACCACAACCACCACCACCCTAGCCACCACACACAACCACCCACCACACACACACAACCACACACACAACCACCACCACCACAACCACCACACACAATCACCACCACACACAACCACACACAGCCACCACACACAGCCACCATCACACACATACCACACACACAACCACCACCACACACAACCACCACCACCACACACAACCACCACACACAACCACCACCACACTACGAGGGTAACAATCTACAAGTGTTAGTTGTGACTTCAGGTGACGTTGATAATAATACAATACCTGAGTTATACATGACTTAACCTGACACCACAGCATAACTACCGCTTGTTAAGATAGTTACTGAATCTCCTCCTCTACACACACCATGAAACATGTCTTCTATTAAGGTATGACGTGGCAGTGACGTCATTAATGCGTGAGTAATTTGTGACTTAATCCTGTCATTATGGCCTAATTACCGGTCATTAGGAGGAAGGATTATTAGCTTACAACCCACGCTAGTCACCCCCTATAATGCGACAGTAACAGTATTATTATTTGGTTTAATTACCTTTGATAACGAGGTGTGATATCGTGTTACCTGTGAATGATTAATTGGATCACCTGACGATTAATAACCCAAACTTATTTTACTTGATGACTAAAAAAATTAACTTAACATTAGCTGGCATAGGTTAGGTTAGGTTTGGTTTGGTTAGGTTAGGTTAGGTTATTTAGCTTAAAGGTGTCTCGTCATTAAGGAAAATACGCTTGGGGTGTTTTATCTTCAAGTGATCTCATATTTGGCCATTTATATCACCACAATGTAATTATATCAGCCATTGACAATGTTGTTAGTCCTCGTCAGGCACCAGTAAGGCTCGTGACACCAACCCACACCTTACATGTGTTATTGTCTGGGAGTTGTGACGTATGAGTTACCTACGTCACCGCATGCGTGGGTGAGTAATGACCAATCACCGTGAGTGGAACAGCTACCCTCTGGTGCTACATGCGGGTTTTGATTAATTAACCTGCGACAACACACTAACCTGACCTAATCTAACCTAACCTAATCCAACGCTACGGTAGAGTCTCTGTTCATTTCCTTGCCATCTTTAATAATCGTCTGTTAAATCGTTGCCATACGCAGTTAGAGGAAGAGAAAGTATGACAAGATCTTTGGAGAATTTAAACCAAGCCTAGTTACTATAACTACGCCAGCCAATTAGAACGCTGGCCGGTGACGTCATGTGCTATATTAAGGCCAATTAGGATGCTACTTAATGATGTCATGGACTCTACTCAATTCAGCAAGCAAGGACACGAGTCCATGACATCATCTACTTCACAAGCACCAATTAGAGCATGGTTTTGGGTGACGTCATCCACTTGTTAGGAACCAATTAGGGTACTGATGGATGACTTCATTAATATGGAGTAAATAAACACAGTCGAAGGAGCAGTATGATTTAGCCTTGTTTGTGTATGTGTTTGTTAGGTTGTTTGTGGGGAAGATATTTGGGTACGTTATCTCCTCCTCCTCCTCCTCTCTCTCCTCTTCTTCTCCTCTTCTTCTCCTCTCCTTCTCCTTCCCCTCTTCCTCGACTTCTGCTCTTTGCGTGTCTTCCTAATTTCTAATAGACGCAAATTACTATTAATTAATAACAGGAATGAAAATGTAAATTGTGTCGTGTTATCATGTGGGTCATAGGGACTGTCTGTCTGTCTGTCTGTCTGTCTGTATGTCTGTCTCTCGGTCTATCTATCTGTCTGTCTGTCTGTATGTCTGTCTCTCGGTCTATCTATCTGTCTGTATGTCTGTCTCTCGGTCTGTCTATCTGTCTGTCTGTCTGATTGCAAGAAAAAAAATAAATAAAAATATCACAGGAAAATAAAACAATAAAATATAATAAAATTCTGGAAAAATATAAAATTGGAGACATAATTTAATATCACTAATTAAACCACACTTATCCTCACCTGTCCCTAATGGTTCCTTTGTTATCAGCAGGTGTTCTTGTAAGCACTGTGTACCCTGTCGCTAACAACACATTGCCAGCACGAACAGATAATCTATACGCCAGACGAATATTCGCCTGTCTCCTGTCTATAATCTTTCTCTTATGCGGTACAAAGTCATATCTGTCCGGTGTCTGTCCAAAACAACAACAATCACTACCTCTACTACCACTATTGCTACCAGGTCTACCACTACCACCATCATTACCACCACTACCACTACCACCACTACCACCACCACCACTACCACAACTACCACCGCCACTACCACTACCACCATACCCTTCATCCTCATTGCCTCATAAGCTTATCACACACACACACCCACACACACACACACACACACACACACACACAGTTAAACTAGAAATCGATACTCAGGTGCTGGGAGACCTGTGTCCAAAGCTGCCCTTCCTTTCCTAGCCCTGTGTGTTGTGAGGGAGAGAGGGAGGGAGGGAGGGAGAGAGGGAGAGAGGGAGGGAGATTGAAGGAGAGAGGGAGAGAGAGAGGATCAGTCTGTGTTTTTATTTGTTTCTTATTGCTTTTCGAAAAGGTTTTGTGTGTGTGTGTGTGTGTGTGTGTGTGTGTGTGTGTGTGTGTGTGTGTGTGTTGTTCATGCATATACCAGTACTAACCAAAATCATCACATTAACCACAATTCCGACAACCACCACACCTACCACAATCACTACTACACCCACTACAACCACCACCATCAAAATCCAAACAAATCGCCCCCCCCTCCCCCTTAATAACATCTCTCCAAACGAGGCAATTAGACAGTTCATACTCGTTAAATCCCAGGTGTGTTCTGCCTAACACACCTGTACGTGATATATAGCAAAGGTAAATTCATGTTAATCGGGTTTAATTGTACACGGGGTAGATAATGGCGTGTTTAAATGGCGTCTGTGATGATGCAGGTGTAACGTAGAAGGTTATTAAGGAGTTCATGGGGAATAAATCTAAGACCTTCATATTTATTTTGTCTTTCCAGTTTATGTAATCGTTCATTAACTCAAAATTATTTCACTTTTGGAATAAATTTTGATACTAGAGGTTTCAACATAAGTGCTTTAAGATTTTTAATGTTTTCATTAATTATGTTTGTATTATTTCACTTTAGAATAAACTTTTACTGTAAAGGTTTATATAGTTTCTTAATTAATTTCAATATATTTTCACTATTATTAACTTTGACTTTACCTAGATATATACTTCACGATATATAGTTTTTTTTTATTTCGTGATATAAGTTCAAAGTTTCCAAGGTTTAAACTCATACTGAATTAAATAAACTTTTATCTACAAACTTTTTATACTCTTCTTCGTTAACTACGACCAAAACTAATTCGCTCAAGTTATAATTACTTTCAATACTTGTTTTCTTTATGTTAAGGGTTCGTCTTACCTGAACTGTGAAAGAATATTAAAACTTTCGGATCAACTGAAGATTAATCACCCAAACGCTAACCTAACCTAACCTAACCTGACCTAACCTAACCTAACCTAACCTAACCTAACCTGATTTTTTCTCACACAGGCAGGACCAAACAGCATGGACGTGTTGGCAGGAATCCCACACAGGTAAATACGAGAGATTTTCTAATACGTCCAAATAAGTCTTAACTCAGAGACCATTAACTTAACACAGAGACCATTAACTTAACACAGAGACCATTAACTTAACACAGAGACCATTAACTTAACACAGAGACCATTAACTTAACACAGAGACCATTAACTTAACACAGAGACCATTAACTTAACACAGAGACCATTAACTTAACACAGAGACCATTAACTTAACACAGAGACCATTAACTTAACACAGAAACCATTAACGTAACACAGAAACCATTAACGTAACACACAGACATTAAATTAACACAGACCATTAACTTTACGGGAAAATATACAAAGGTGGTAAACTCAGATAGCTTCCTTCCCTATAATTAAAAGTTAATGCATTTATAGGCACTATAATGCTGAGTGTTTCTGAAGGTTGTAAAGTTAATGGGCCATTAACATCGACCCTTAATACATTGCCATTAACTGCAAGCCATAAGTAGGTGGTATTGATAAATGTTAAGTAAACATTAATACAGGTATATCATTAACTTAGGTAAACCTGGTGATGGTAAACCTAACCTAACCTAACCTAACCTAACCTAACCTAACTTAACATCAGAATACAATGTTTCAAGCATACCCCAAGATGGTAAACCCTAATATAACAATGACAACTTAATATAGATACCTCAGTCTCTCTATACCGCACGATTGTAACCCCGTGTTAAAACCTTATCAGATATTCAGGTTTACATAAACTCGGTACACCCACACTGGTAAGAACGTAACTACCAATATTCTGGGAAGTTGTTCTGCAGTATACAACAACATTACTATGATTTATGTAGTGTGGTTGGGGGGGGGAGAGGTGTGGTAGTGGGAAGTGCTGGGTGGTGGGTGGAATGTAGTGTGGATAAATGATATGTGTAGACATATGTGGTAGTGTGGTAGTGTGGTAGTGTGGTAGAAGGATAAAGTTGCTACAATGCTGGACCTTCAATGTTGACACTGCCCACAACCATGATATTCTGTACCTGTGTGTTTAAAGGGTGTGTGTGTGTGTGTGTGTGTGTGTGTGTGTGTGTGTGTGTGTGTGTGTGTGTGTTGCTAACTTGGAACCATTTACCTGAGACTTAAACAGGTAGGAAAAGTCAGGTAAGTTGGTGAAATATACATCTCTACGACACACCTGAAACTATGTACACGGGTCAGTTCTGAGGAGCAGAGTTGGTGTGGAACTGACTCTTAGGCCTTTTACACACACACACACAGGTATTGGATCACCTGACATTAAACACCTCTCACCTTATTTCAACTGATGATTAAACACTCTACAGGTACCTCCAGGTGTTTAATCATTAGGTGAAATAATTTGGGGTGTCGGATCTTCAGGTGATTTGAGGAATGAAAAAGTCCTTCTTCTACTCCTCCCCCTCCTCCCCCTCCCCCTCCTCCCCCTCCCCCCCCCCTCTTCCTCCTAGCACTCGGGTTGAGAGGGTGGTGGAGGCCCTCTAGATAGATATAGCTGGATTATTATTATGATCGTGTACTGGAAACTGACTTAAGAATACAATGTGAAGTAATTGTAGTTAATGATTGTTACTGAAGATAATTATAAGACAGGTAGGTAACTATCACCTTCGGGTTCTGTCTGTCAGATTGTGCTTACACCTGACTCGCTTATTCTGACGTTTTACATACATACACACCATCACACGCACACACACACATGTACGCACATACAGGCAGGCACACGCACTCACACCGACAATCACACATGCAAATAAACTTGATACATATACAGACTAAAGCGTGTTGACATGCACACATACATATGTATATCTAGACAAACACACACGCACGTATACACATCCACTTCAATCACACATGCATGCAAGAATATACAGGCAGGCACACGCACTCACACCGACAATCACACATGCAAATAAACTTGATACATATACAGACTAAAGCGTGTTGACATGCACACATACATATGTATATCTAGACAAACACACACGCACGTATACACATCCACTTCATGCATGCAAGAATAGCCACACACACAAAGCCAGGCAGGCACACCCATTATATACGTGTGGATATATGTTCAAACACACAGACACAGACACACACAGACACAGGCACACACAGACACAGGCACACACAGACACAGGCACACACAGACGCAGACACACACACACACACACACACAACACCTCGTCTATCATTTCATAACAAAATAGCTGCCTTGTAATTTTAAATCAAATAAGATGTTTTAAAACACACGTACGTTATGTTATGTAAAACGAGGTCAGGTCAGGTTAGGTCAAGTCAAGTCAGGTCAGGTCAGGTTCCAGACTACGTAACAGGGGTCGCAATTAATACACCTGGAGACTAAATTTACGTGGTAATCAACATACATTATTGACACAGATGTTTTTGACCAGGTAACAACGTCAGGTTTTAATTAAGTAATAGTGTCAGGTCTTGGTTAACTTCACCAGGTGGTTTATGAGAGTGACTTCAGTGAGGTTTTGACGATTTTTTTTTACGTTTTGGTTTATGTAAATTAGTCAGGTTTTAACCAGGTAACGATGTCAGGTTTTGGCCAGGTAATATCGTTAGGTTTTGGCCAGGTAACATCGTTAAATTTTGGCCAGGTGAGAGCGTCAGGTATCGGTCAGACAACCTCCACTAGTTTGGGATCAATTAATCGCTACATGCTTATCGAATGACGTCATCATCAGCATCGACTTCACGTTTTACTTAAGCCTCCGCATCTCTCTCATTAAACATACCAGGTGTCATATTACGCATGGTATATATATATATATATATATATATATATATATATATATATATATATATATATATATATATATATATCTTCTTGCGCATGCGTCTATTCAAGAGCATGCGTACGTTTCCTTCATATACTGGTTATGCGTTATGCGTTTCAGTGCGTCGTGATTCGTGCTGCCTCTGAATAAGTCTGTATGTTGGTGTACATGCGTGAGTGGGATGACGATACTTGCATGTCTGTATGAATGTATGCACAACGACGTCTTTGTATGTACGTATGTAAGTATGTATGTATGTATGTATGTATGTATGTATGTATGTATGTTTATATGTATGTATGTATGAATGCTTATTTTGTGTGTCTGTGTGTGTGTGTGTATCGCTGGGTTTGTGTACGTATTTGGGGTTTGTTTACATATATAGGATGTACGTACGTATTACGATGTTGATGTACGTTTATGTGTATATAGTATCGGGTTTACGTACATGTCAAAGGCTTGTGTACGTGTACTATCATATTCAGGGATTCATTTCAGGTTTAAGTACGTATGAGGAGTCGTATACTTATCCCGCCTTTGTGTGTGTGTGTGTGTGTGTGTGTACGAGTGACTAATCAAGGACCGTACACACACACCTATATAATTAAGACGTATATAATTCTGACCCTTGCCGCAGCCTTCCCCGTGCTTTAATAACACCAAGGGCGAGGAACTTACGAGAGAATTATAGAAATTATAGGTATTAATAAACCCTCCCCCCCTTTACCCCCCCCCTTTCCCTCACCCTCCCTCCCCCCCCCTACCCTCACCCTCCCTCCCTTTGATAATTAAAAGACCCTCCTGGCTTCTTTAACATGAACTGACAGACATCGATAGACATAACAGATAGATATATCACACACACACACACACACACACACACACACACACACACTTATTTACATATGTTTTTATTTGTGTTTGTCGTTTTTTATTGAATTAGTAATATTTTTTATTTATTTATTATTATTTATTTGTTTATTCATTTCCCTATGTACTTATTTATCTATATTCCATAACCCCTTCTTTTTATTACCGTTATCTATATCCATTCATGTATTTTATTCATTTTTGTCTATGTACTTATTTATTCGTCTCTGATTTTTATACGTTTTCGATTTTGTTTTTCTTTATTCATATATATTGATCTTATTAAAGTAAGAATTATATATTTTTTTCAATCTTTACTAAATCATTAAATTATTATCATATTTTAATCAGTTATTCACCGATGGTTATTTTTCATTTGTGGCTGTTATTTTTTTCATTATTTTCCTATTAATTTATTCATCGTTATTACATTATCTTTTTAAGTGAATTATCATCAGATTTGTCCACGTATTAAAAGCATCAGAGATCGTGTGTTAACTTTACTGCCTCACTGACACACTTCCTACCTCGAGGCTAACACACACACACACACTCACACACTCCCCGGCCCGGCACACTCTACACATCTCCCCTCCTCCACCAACCCCCCCTCCCCTCGAGTGTGAGCACCACTTATGTGCGTGACACTCCAGCACACGAGAGCTCTAGGATAACCTGTGACTCGGGGTGTTCCAAGTAGCTAAAAATTGAAACCAGGACCTCACCCCCCAAAAAAAAAAAATTATATTAACCAAAATTCATATATTATTAGTAAACAGAATATTTTCCTTACTGACATAACGGGTGGATGTTTTTTCCGTGATTTGGGAGGATATAATAGCGTTTTTAAGTACTATATTACAAATCATCGTCAGTAATTTTTTTTTTCGTCTCGTTGGGTAAATTTGTCGTTGTGCTAAATGTCGCGTCAGGTACGACTCACTCAGGTACGATTCACTCAGGTACGACTCACTCAGGTACGACTCACTCAGGTACGACTCACTCAGGTATGAAGAGGAGGGTGTTGTTTACCTCGCCGCTCACACCTGTGCTGAGCTGCGTTCGTCGTCTGAATCTGTTGACGTTCTTGGAATCCGTTCTGAGAGAGGCGGATTTCAGAGATACGAGCTTTTATTAATACAAGATTTATTACTACAACACTCACTAATACAAAGGTTAATAATACAGTAATCACTAATACAAGGGTTAATAATTCAATAGTCATTCGTGCAGTAATCATTAATAGAATCGTAATTAACACAAGGGCAGCCAGGTAACTAGAGAGGCCTACCTATGACTCATTTACCTTAGGTTATGGAGAAAGGTGAGAGGAAGGGAAGGGAAATGGGGAGAGGAGAGAAGGAAGAGGGGAGAGAGTAGAAGGTGAAACAAGAAGGGGAGAAAAGTGTGATGAGAGGGAATGGAAGAGAGGCAAAAGGAGAAAAAGAGAAGGATGGTAGAAATATTGGAAGAGGGTATAGAAGAGGGAAAATGGAAATAAAATGATAAAGAAAGGGGTGAGGAGAGGGAGACTATATAAAAAGGGATAAAAGGGGAGGAAGGAAGATAAGGGGAATTAAGGTAGAATGAAAGAGAAGTGAGAAGGAGAATTAGTTGAAATGGAGGAAGAAAGATCAGTGAAGGTATGAGGAGAAGAAAGATGATGAAGATGGGAAGATAAAACAACGTAGTGAATGTGTGAATAATAATAATAATAATAATAACAACAATGTACTCTCCCTTACCATACTCTAAAACACAATAAAACAAGCGACCAATCACAAACAAGAAACATATCAACAACGCCATCTTACGGGTGTTGTATGAAGCTGGAGCGCCGTAGTTAGGAAGGTTTAAAAGAGGTTAATAATTAAGTTATTGAGAGTAAGGAACGAGAGATCTTAGCATAGTGTTGTGTTGTTCGTGTGTCTAGGAAAAAAACATTCTCAGTCAGTCAGTCAAGTCAGTCAGTCAGTCAGTCAGGCAGGAAAGGAATAGACTTATGAGAATTGTGATAGAATTTTCGATGGAGTTAATCACGTTTTTTTTTCCATATCTCATTGGTTGAGATATGGAATCCTTATTCTGACGTCACGCAAGTTATAATTAAATTTTACCATTGATATTTATTTTTCTTATTATTTACTGGGATTTCTTTATTCTTATTTATTACATTGACTTTTTTTAATGTTTATTATTCGTGTGTTTATCGTCTGATTTATTGATGCTTTAGGGTGAGTGAGTGAGTTCCTTTGTTTACCTATCGAATCTATTTGCCATGAGACGTGAGTGCTGATTGGTCAATGTATGTGTTTACTGCAGCAAATCAAGGTCGATATAATATATTCTGATAAATCATTAGTATTAGGTCTCTCTCTCTCTCTCTCTTCCCTTCTTCCCCCTCACCTGGTCTTGCCTTGGTCACGGTCATACGAGTAATAATAACCCGTTAGTGTCCTGTGATTTACCTGTATTGGTTTGACCTTACGTGTACGTACATGATCGTGAGGATGTCTGACCTCGTGTACGTGTGTGTGTGTGTTTCTGGTTCTGTACACGTGTTTGTGTGTGTGTGTGTGTGTGTGTGTCTGGTACTGTTTACGTGTGTGTGTGTGTTTCTGGCCATGCGTACGTGGTGGTGTCTAACCCTGTGTACGTGTGTGTGTGTGTATTTGGCCTTGTGTACGTATATATGTCTGGCCTTGTGTGTGTTTGGTCTTGCGTACGTGTGTGTGTGTGTGTGTTTGGCCTTGCGTACGTGTGTGTGTGTGTTTAGCCTTATATATATATGTGTGTGTGTGTGTGTCTTGCCCTGTGTACGTGTAAGTATCTGGCCTTGTGTACGTGATGGTATCTAACCCCGTGTACGTGACCATGAAGGTGTACGTATAGAGTGACCTTAAGTGAAATAAAATAGCAATGTTTACTATTTTACTAAACATTTTTCCACCCATTACTTGCATCACTATTGCTCAACCTGTGTTTAGTTTCACAATATTAAAATCACTGATGAAACATTTTAGCTCACAGTAAATTAAGGAGTTTTGATTCTATTTTTGTTTTATTTAAGCTGATTTGATGATTTTGTTGATGAATGAAGCTTAATTTTTATATGCTTTAGGATATTTTATAAGGTGAAACGTTTGAGGAAAGTATTACTCTATGCATTTCACTACAGATCAAAAGTATTAAAAAAATAAAGTTTGTACTGAAAATTCAAAACTGTATTTAGTATTAGGAAAAAAATATCAAATAATTCCTTTAATTGAGCAGGTGTTTTTGTAGTTAAGAAATACCTGTTACCCCATGACCCTTCTACAATTAACTCTCTATGTACAGTAGGTGATTAAATACAGGTAACCTTAAGCTTGTTTTCCGTATACATATAAAACATCACATAAACTCTATTCCTAAGCTTTCATCTTAACAAATCTTTACATCCCTCACGCGAAAAATACATCACCAATTATGTCAGGAAGGTTTGGCGGCGGTCTGTCTAAACGCAGCCAAAAAATGATCAAACGTCGACACTTCGCTTTTGTCTATGTAGCTGTGAAGAGACGCAGCCAATAAGTGGTAGGATTGCAGCCAATCGTTACATTGTATTTACACCACGTGACCTGTTTCAGCCAATCAGCGGCCGGAGCGCCATCACGTGGCCAAAATGGGAACTAGTGGAGAGAAAAACACTCGGGTGAAGGGAGGAGAGATGAGAGGGAGAATATAGAGGGAGGAGAGATGAGAGGGAGAAGTATAGAGAATTCGGATATAAAGGGAGAATATAGAAAGGGAGAAGAGAGAAGAGGAAGAAGTATAGAGAAGGGAGGACAAATAAGAGGGAGACATATAAAAAGGGAGAGAGAGAATGAAGAGTAATAGAAAAGAGGAGGAGACAATAATGAGAGACAGAGAGAAGGATGGCGATGACAAGAGACGGAGGAGAGAGAGAGAGAGAGAGAGAGAGACAAGATGAAGCACAGAGATAATGGAGGATATAAAAGAGAGAGACAGAGTAGAAGTAAAGAAAAAGGAGATAATGGAAGAGAAAGAAAGAGGGAGAAATACAAAGAAGAAAGGAGACGGGAGGGAGAGTAGAAGGATAAATATAGAGACAGAGAGAGTCAAACAAGATATATTCAGCAGTATTTTTCCTCTGGTTGATTTAACCCTTTTGTAGACGGTGACTTAACCCTTTGATGCTGTGGTTTAACCCTTTGATGCTGTGGTTTAACCCTTTGAGGACAATGATTTAACCCTTTAAGGAAGATTATTTGCCCTTTAAGGATTATAGTTTTACCGTTTTGATGATTATCTTTAATTTGAGGACGATAATCTGACTATGGGGACGATTTTTAACCCCACTAGGACGAGGACAGACAGTCTCTCTCTGTGTCAGGGTGGGTGAGGGTGTGGGAGGGTGTGGGAGGGTGGGTGAGGGTGTGGGAGTGTGAGAGTGTGTGGGGGTATGCAGTGGCAAATGAAAGTGTGTGTGGAAGGGAATGAGGATGGGTAAGTGTGTATGTGTGTGTGTGTGTGTGGATAAGGGTAAGTTAGGGTGTGTGGAAGTGGTTAAGGGTATGTGAGGGTGGATGAGGATGAGGTATGATTTGCTGGGTTAAGTGAGGGTATGAGGGAAGAGATGTGGAGAGGTGAGGAGAGGGTGAGTGTGAGAAGAGAGAGAGGGGTGTAGGAGGGTTAAGAGAGGGGTGTAGGAGGGTTAAGAGAGGGATATAGGAGGTTGGGGACAGAGATGTGTGTGTGTTCACTTTACGGAGAGTATCAGACCACACACACACACACACACACACACACACACACACATACACGAGGACACGCTCATAACAGTAGAGCCTCCCCGTGTACCTCTGACAGCTGTTGCCCATCACCACTACCATGACATAAATTATACCGTGAATTTTAGATTAATTT